GTCTCCATGACTTCAGGTGCCGAACAACCTTCTACACAGCCCTCACTCGCCTTCTGATGGTAGATCTAGGTAAGGTTAAGAATTTAAGCTCAATTAATAAAGGATCAGCAGTATACACAGTCTGCCCCAGAAAATGTATACACACTTCAGGAAAAGAAAAACTTACATAAATATCTTTATACTAATTTATTGAGACATCATAATACTAATACAAGTTACCTTTGACCTCTGCAATTACAAGAGGTGCTCAAAATGGTGGCCATTAACTTCCAGACATTAATACAACAAATTGCTGCTTGGGTAACCCTGGTCATTGATATTGCTACAGGTGCATTTTCATTTTCTTCTCTATGGGCCAGCAGTGTGGTGAGTTTTCTGCAAAATATGACATCCTCTAGAGTCCCCTCATATAACAGTAACACCATGTGTTGAAACAACGTCATACTGTTTTCCTTCTCCTGAAATGTGTATACATTTTTTTGGTGGACTCTGTATTTGTTTGAATAAACAAGTGCGATACTAGTAGGGTATTTGATGTAACTTATTAGAAATGGTTATCTTTCAAATGCTCCATACCTTTCATGTGAGAATTTATTTGTTTGCACCAGTGGTGGTGAACCTGTGGCACACAGGCTACAGCAGACTGTTGTATCATCAAAAGGTCTATGAGGTTTACTATCACTGTCCTACAGGGATTAGAAAATTATGGACTAGCCACCTACTTAATGGAATGGTTTATAGTCATTAAAAATGATGATTTGTATATCCACAAAATAGTTAAGACAGTTACACTACTAACTGCCATTAGTTCATTGAAAGGAAAAATTTGTGCTAGATTGTTTGATGAGTTTTTCGTGCTTGTATCTTGTAATATGAGCACCTACTTTGAAGATAACAATGCACAAGGTGCTAACCATTGTGACTGTCCTATAATCTTGTTTTGAAATTTTGTACCATTGTTTTTATTGGGGTTTTTTTCATTTAAAATAAAAAATGATTTGAAGACAGGACCATGCATAAAATTTTTTGTGATAGTATGAAGTGAAAAAGCAAGTATTGTACTGTTTAACTGGTATGATTACATATACTGGAAGAAAATGCATAAAAAGGCTTTCATGAATTTGTTCAAAAGTACTAAGCATAGCCATTTTTGGAAAACAATATGGACGTTACTCAAAAAATTAAACTAGAACCTACTATATAACCCAACAGTCCCACTACTGGTTATATACCAAGGGAAATGAAATTAATGTATTGGAGAGACATCCACAGTCACATGTTCATTGCAGCACTATTCACAATAGCTATGAAAAGAAACAACCTAAGCCAGCGATTTAGCTCAGTGGCACAAAAGTCTGCTTGGCAAGTACGAGGTCATGAGTTCAATCCCCAATATGAAAAAGAAAAGAAAGAAAGAAACAACCTAAATGTCATCAAATGATAAATGGATAAAGAAATTGTGGTTATATATATATGCAATAGAATGCTCTTCAGCTTAAAACAAAGAAACTAGCAGGCTTGGTTGGCCATGCCTATTATTCCAGTACTCTAGGAGGCTGGGACAGGAGAATCACAAGTTTGAGCTCAACCTAGGCAACCTAGCAAGCCTCTGTTTCAAAACAAAAATTGCTGGGGATGTAGCTCAGTGTGAATACCCTGAGTTCTATCTGTAGTACCACCCTAACCTACCTCCTCAAAAAACACCAAGGAAATCCTGCTAGCCATAACAACAACATGATTGAACCTGGAGGATATTGTATTAATGAAATAAGCTAAGCACATAAAATGAAGAATCTAAAAACACTGATCTCATAGAATTAGACTAACATGATGGTTACCAAGAACTGAGCACTTGGGGATGCAGTGTAAAATGATACTGGCCAAAGCTTTGATACAAAATTTCAGTAGGTAGGAGGTATAAAGTTCTTTTGTATAACCTAGTAGCTATAATTAATAACATGTTGTATTCTTAGAAAAAAGTGAATGTTAAGTATTCTCACCACAGAAATGCTAACTATGAAATAAAGCACAGTTAATTTCTTAAATTTAATCATTTTATATTTATGTACTGAAAAGTTGTATGTGGTAAATACATACAATGTTATCTGTCAGTTTAAAAAATAATAGCTGAAGCATACTGAATTTTGACTTTGTGAGGTAAGTTATAGTTAATTTTTCCCACTTCTGGTTCTTTGCACTCTTCTTAAATATGTTAACTTTTATAATGGTAATAAATCCACTTATTTCTAATTTTCTTAAAAATCGTTTTAACTGACATATAAAAGTTATACATATTTAATAAGGTACCATGTAATGTTTCAAGACATGTTTAGATAATGTGTTAATTACATGAAATGTGTCTTTTGGGAGCAGGGAGTTGTTGAAAATCAAGGCCATGATCTTGTGCATGCTAGGCAGACTCTCTGTCCCTGAGTTACATCCCTAGCCCAATGTTAAATGTATTTGTCACCTCATATATATCATTTCTTTATGATAAAAACTCTGAAAATCCTTTCTTCTAGCTTTCAATATGTACAGTACATCTTGGTTACCTATAGTCACCCACTGTGCCATGGTAGTACACTGGAATTTTGAACTCCCATCCAACTGTAAGTAGGAATAAGAAATCCTGGTATGCCACTGCACAGTGGGGTGACTGTACAACCTTCCTCCATCCCACCACATACTCCCCAACTCTCCTTCTTCATATAACCACCAATCTACTCTCCAGTACATCACATCAGTTGTTGAGACTCTAATATGAGTGAGACCATGAAGCATTTGTCTTCCTGTGTCTGGCTTATTTCACTTAACACAGTGATCTCCAGCTCCATCCATGTTGTTATAAATGATAGAATTTCATTCTTTTTTTACAGCTGAATAATACTTAAATTTTTTCACATTTTCTTTATCCATTTATCAGCTGATGGACACTTAGGTTTTTATCACATCTTTTCTGTTGTGAATTGTGGTACAGTAAACGTGGAAGCACAAGTGTCTCTTCAACTTATTGATTTCATTGCCTTTGGATATTTAACCAGTAGTGGGATTTCTGAATTATATGGTAGGGTTTTGTTTTTTGTTTTTTTTTTTTTTTTTTTTGAGGAACATTTATACTGTTTCTACCAATAGTCTGCAAGAATCCCCCTTTTTTCCACATCCAGCATTTATCTTTAGTCTTTCTGGTAACAGCATTTCTTAATATGGTGAGGTTCTGTTTCATTGTAGTTTTCATTTGTATGTCTTCTTTTTAGAAATGTCTGTTTAGATCTGTTTCTCATTTTTTAAATCAGGTTTGTTTGATTGGCTTTGCTGTTGAGTTTTTAGAGTTCCTTATGTATTCTGGATATCAACTCTTCTTCAGATGAGTAGTTTGCAAATATTTTCTTCCATCCTGTAGGTTATCTCAGCATTCTGCTTTGTTATATAGAAACTTTTTAGTTTGAGGTAATCCTACTTCTCTGTTTTTGCTTTTGTTTCCTGTGCTCTTGAAATCTTGTTCAGAAAATTCTTGCTTGCTTTTCATTTATTTTACTGTAAATCTAGAGTTAATGAGAAATAGCTATAGCTAAACAGAACCTTAGGATAGACCCTTGAGGCTTTTTATGTAACCATGTTATTCTGGATTCCCATTTTCCACATTTCAATTCCACAGGTTAGATCAGTAGTTGTAGATACATGAGATGATTCAATCAGTGACAGAGTCGTCCTTAGTGAATATAATACCGCTGATATTTTTTCTTTTGAAATTTATTGATTAATCTGTCACTTTAAATGCAAAGTTTTAAAATGTGATCATGCACAAGGAAAGAGATAAATAATTTTATTTTTCACATAAAAGGCACTGAACCTTGAAATGGAAAAATGAATAAACTTCTCAGTGTCCTACATCCATATTATTTTCATGAATTTCAGCAAAGTAAGTCACCAGAAAGACAAACAGCCAAAAAGTTGAGAGAAATGCAACTAGAATGATTAAAAAGATTAGTGGGATTGATTTCTAAGAAAAGATTAAAAGAAGTTATATGTATAACTTGGCTAAGTGACAAGTAGGGCTAGAGGCAAAGAGAACTGTCTATAAATATTTGAAGAGTGTAAACCAGGCTTGCAAAACCCAGTCACCCGCTTACCTTAGGCAAATGGGAGATCTAACTGAGTGATAGCTTTTCGTACTGCACATTGGCCTGTTTACCTTTGGATGCTGCCTTGGAAAGAAGAGGAGCAGCCCCAGACTCTGTCATTGTCCTCAGCAGTCATTTATTGGACATAGTATGCTGAACTCTGAGCCCAAGACCAGGAGGAATCCAGGCATACTTGGTCCTGGCCTCAAGGAGCTTGCTTTTCTTGTTTTCTCATTGTCCAAGCATTTAAAAAAGATTGTAAGCTCTTGTCTAGACTTCATTTATCTTACAGCCCTTAAAAATACCATTTTCACACACTGAAAGAAATGAGAGAAATATCTGGAGATTTTCTAGAAATAACATCACATTACTCACATCTTTAGAACCTTGAAATAGAATAGATCAGGATTTCCTTTTTCATGTGGTTGCGCGCAAAAAAGAGCCCCACCTATCTGTAGTAGCTTTAAACAAAGGATAGACTCTGAACACTGTGTGGACTCTCTTCCACGGCCTACTTGCAGTTATCATTGCATTAGTAATTGATATTCATTTTTATACCCAGAAAGACCACATTGCTTACTTTCTAGAGGAAAATTTGCTTTTATTTCGTATTGCTTAATGTAATAGGTGAGGTATAAGAAACTGAAGTAAACACATATAATTTGAATAACTAATAGAATTTTGTTTCCTGGATTAGATTCCTCTGAATTATTACTCATAACAATATAAATTGATATATTTTGATTCAAAGGGTTTTTTTTAAATAAAAAGTAAATTTTTTTAGATATCTTTACTGAAACAGAGACTAAGATAGAAGTGCCTGGTGCATGATAAGTCTCAATATAAATCAGTTTTATCTGGATTATAGATGAAATTAAAGTACTTGCTTTGGCAGCACATGTACTAAAGTTGGAATGATACAGAGAAGATTAGCGTGACCCCTGTGCAAGGATGGCATGCAAAAAAGAAAGAAACATTAGAAGCTACAGCAACTATTCATGGAACTTTCATACTTCTTGAAAAGAGGCTCACGGGCTGGGGATTTAGCTCAGCAGAGTAAGCGCCTTCCTTGCAAGTGTGCGGTCGTGAGTTCAATCCCTGGTACCGATAAAAATGAAAAAGACAAAAAAAAAAGAAAGAAAGAAAGAAAAGAGGCTTTCCTTACTTTTTACAAGGTTTTTACTTCTTTAAAGTAAGTACTATAAACATTAAGTGATAATTTCTGATACAGATTACCAGAGTGTCTTTCTATTGTTAGAAACCAGAGTTACTTTTCCCAAATCATGTTGAGAACTTTTGGGGTGACACTGCCTTTTCCTAATTTTCTACTACCAAGCTCAGTGTCTCTGCATTGTAAATGCTCTCTAAATGCTTGTTGAATGAATGACAAACAACTATACAGTAACCAAAATGCCATCATCATGACTTTTAAAATCAGCTCTTCCTATCAGAGTCTTTTCTGGAAAGTATCTTTGATCATTGATCTCTCTAACACAAAATATAGCAAGTGGCTGGTTACATTCAGAAGTATTTGGCTACATGTGGCCACTCATGTGTGCTATTAGTCCTCTGTTACTACCTCTTCAAAGTGTTGCTAGGTTATAGATGATGGTCTGCTTAGTATTGGTTGAACATAATTTCTACTATTTGAAGCCGTATCACAAGGTAGATTGACGGAAATGTCACTGTCAGAATTTCTGTGTGTAGGGCTTGATAGTTTTCTATTGTGTGATAGTTTTCTATTACTGTCATGGAAATGGAAGAAAAGGTAATGTCAAGAGCAGCACAGATCCATGTATTAAACAAAAAAAGTAAAAACACTAGGTAATGAAAACTATTCTCAAATTTAAAATTTGAGAGCAAACTTTTTATACCACTAATTTGAGGTGTGGGCAAGAATAAAAAAAGAAAAGAGAGAACTGCTTGCATTTGATGTGATTCTTGAATTGAAATATGAAGCATATTCTAATAGAATCCTACAAAATTGAATTTGTGATATATAGATATGTATATGTATGGTATGCATATTGGAGAGATTAGGAAAGGGGAAAGAAGGATGTCATATTAATTGGTATTTACTTTGAAATGCATTTTGTTTTCTAGTCAGTAATTCATACTTTGTATGAATTTAATTAGATGTTATATGCCCCAGGTTGTATTTCAGATGAAAATGGGGAGTGAGGCAATAGTTGTACTATTTTATCAGACTGCTTTAGCTAAAATTGACAAAGTGTTCACTTGTAAGAAGAACAGAATTGAAATCATTTCATCATTGGAATGATGATTCAAAACATGTAAGAGATGTTTGGCTATGTTCTTTGTAGTCTAAGAAATTAGTGCAGAAATGGGTGACCAACCATATGTATGTTCATGTTAGCCCTTCCAAGAATCACTTAAGGCTCCCTGGGTTATTTTAAAATTAACTTTGTCGATCTAATAAACTAAAGGAAGGAGTATTACCCGAGCCAGTAAATGGAGAACCTCTAGGGAGCTATTCAATATAAAATACTTGAATAAATAAAAACCTGTTTTGTTGAATTCAAATGAAGGTGAATTCAGTTGACAAATATCAAAGAGGGTAGGTGTGAAAACAGAGCTTTTTGTTTTGTGGAGAGCTAGATATTATTAGTTGTAAATTATTTGCTTACACCTCTCAAATTGCTTGGTGTCACCAATAGTTATTTTTCCTTCTTATCCTGAACTACTCAGATGAGAATCTTGTGGATAAAATTTGAGTGAGCATTGAATTCATTGAGTATTTAAACTCTTAACCAATATTTTTAATAGAGAAATACTTACATTAAAATGGTGTTTATGAAAATGGTGTTATGGATCCCTATACTTTTGTGTTTTGTAACTAGCACCTAAAGATAGTGATAGATTAAATTTGAGAAATTTTAAATAACAAGTAAATGATTTAAATATAAAGGGAAGAATATTCTAAAAATAGCTGCTAATGGTAGAATTAAAATTTTTCTTCATTAATAGTAGCTATCTTGTTTTTTACAAATTTATAGTTTGAAAACTGCTTTTAGGTATATACTATCCTATTTGATTCTCACAACAGGCTGCATTTTATAAATATTAGCCTGTTTAGCTATTAGAAAACTGAGGTCAACATAATTAGATAAATTGTCCAAGATCAGTCATGTGACTGGTATCCCCCGGACCACATATTTTCACTCACTTTTGCTAAACTGTGCTTTGCTTTATACCTTTTCAATAAGAAATCTGACCTCATTTTTATTTGAATTGTTTAGACCAAATGATTTAGGGCTTGGGACAGTGAAAAGAAAAGTGAAAGGACTATTTTCTAAGCTTCTATGAAATAAATGAAAAGATTTGTGTTTATTATTTTTCCTATATAAGTTTATTTCGGGTTTATAGTCAATGAAAATAAGATTTAATTTTTAAAACTTATTCTTATGTCTAATAATTGGACAAAGCATATTTCTCATGGATTAAGGACATAGAGGCAGATAACCCAGGAAGATTTAGCAAGTGAGGGGCATGATCAGAAATAGCTAACATCCTGATAGATAGAAAAATACATCAAATATCACCTGTGTCCATGACTTGGCAGACACTGTGGAAAATAGATGGGGGGCAGTAAGGGGTAAAGAAGCAGCTGGAAATACTTAGAATCTATAATGAGATAATTAAGACTAATTAGATGGCCCTGTAGGCAGAAAGCTGTCCATTAAATCTAGATCCAGTTTTAATAACTTAACTGGTTTTGAGAGTAGAGAGTCCAGAACACCCCAGGGACTGAGGGGTTTCAGAGGTGAAACTTTAAGGTAAGTTTCTTAGAAAAGTAATAGCAGTGGTCTACACTGGACACTATCCTTCTTCTAGGAAGTAGTCTACACTAGCCTTCTTCTAGGAATTAAAGTAAACATCATAGGGAATTTCAGGGAACCTCAGTTTTTCTCATCCATTAAATGGAGATACCTACCTTGAAGAGTTGTTACATGATTTAAATATGAAAAAGTATATGAAAGACCTTATATCATATTACCTAACATGTTTATAGGTTCCAGCCAATAGAATGTGAACATTTTTAAGGTATCATTATTCTGCCTACTAACCTGACATATCACTTATGCTTAAATATTCCACACAATATTTACCATATAATCAATCTTCAGTAAAAGTTGGCTATTACCATTTATAACTATGTAGTTGTTTTTGTTACTTGATTCTCCTTGTCTGCTTCCCCAGATCCCCTGTAATCCAGCTGTTGTTTGAATTCAGAAATAAATTTTATTGTTTTATACATTTAAAGGGGGAGACAGAAGAGCAAACCAGATTTATTTATTGAGGTGTCTTTGTTTTTTTCAGAATCTCACGCCATAAATTTTGCCCTTTTAAATATACAGTTCAGTGGATTTTATTATATTCAGAATATTCACCAGGTTTCCTTCTGCTCATCACCTGACAACTACTCATTTTCTGGGTAACAAGGTCTTCCTATATAGTTCAAACTGGTCTTCAACTCACTATGTAGACCGTGCTGGCCTTGAACTCATGGCAGTCCTTCTGCCTCAGCTTCCCAAGCCCTGGGATTAAAAGCATGTGCTACTGCACCTGGCTATATGTTGCTTTTTTTTGTTTTGTTTTTTTGTCTTAGTGAGACAGGGTCTCGCTATGCAGTTCAAACTGGCCTTGAGCTCACTTTGTAGCCTAGGCTGGCCTCAAACTTGCAACGATTCTCCTGCCTCAGCCTCCAAGTGCTGGGATTACAGGCATGAGCCACAATATCCAGCCATATGTTGCTTTTATGTCTAGCTTCTTTCACTTAACATGTTTTCAAGTCTCATATTTAGCATGTTTTGGTACTTTGTTCTTTTATGGCTAAATATTTCATTGTATGTATGTACACAATTTATTTATGTATTCATCCCTAGATTAGCACTTTGATTTCTGTTACTTCTACCTTTTGCCCATTATGAAATAATATACTCCTAATAAACATTTGGTTGTGGATGTGTGCTTTTACTTCTCTTGGAGTGAAATTGCTGAGTCTAATAACAACTTTTTAATAACTGCCAAACTTTCCACAGTGTCTCTACCATATTATGTTGTCAGTACTCCCTTACATCCCACCATATGAGGTTCTAAATTGTACAAAATAATAAGTGAAATGTTCTACAAATACCTGATAGTCATCTCTAGAGGAAAAATATTTGTAACTTTATAAAAATAATCACTTCCCCTTCAATCTTTGCATCAGAAACTCAGTAGAGGTGTTTAACTTTGCATTTTTACGTAAAGCCAAGCAATTTATTATTTTTCTTTATGTATGACTAAGAATGTGATGTTATGTTAATATTTATTTTTTAATGAAATATTAGTTTGTAAATTAGTGCTTCACCTTCAAATCAAATTGGTTTCTGTGCCTTTGTCTTGTTAGGAAAAAAACCGAGCAGTGTCAGTTATTATTCATAAAATTATCACATATAAATTTTGCATGCTAAATATATGACTTCATATTTAAATAAGAAGTTGTAAAATAGCTCATATTTTCTTCTTTTGTATCAGAAATAGTAAATGATACCACCGTACTAACACATAAGAAAAAATCTTTAATATATTTTGTATAAAATCATTTAAATGGTATAAACATAAATGATCAGGTCCCCAGCTTAGGCAAAAAAATTATATAAAATTTATATATATATATATATATATAATTATATATATTCAATAACAGAGGAGCTGTGCTAACTGAAACAAACATTTTTCAGTAGTAATATACTAGTATCTGACATTTGTTAGCCTTAAACCCAAGTGGTTACCTAGGAATTCCATTTTTCTCACCAGGAATTAACTTCTGTTCCTCAGTCACTCCACAAGTATTTCTATAATGTCAGGTTCTATTCTAACATTAAAATACACTTGTGATCAGAATAGACCCAAGTGTTTTCTCCAGGAGGCTTCTGTTTAGTAGAGAAGGCAAACAGTAATCGTGTAAACATCTAAGTTG